TCAATGTGCAAGACCATGTCTAGAAGAAGAACATGGGAGAGTAGGCCGCAAGTTTAGAGAAAACGTGGAGATTTTATTTTGTCAAAAAATATTTTCCGAAAATCAGAAAAAGAAAATAAAATCTTTTTAATTTAAGAAAAAGATAAAATTTAAATTGCAACAGTTTTCCTAAAAACTAGCATGCACAATATTTTATCCTAAGACCAATTCCATACTGATTTTTCGAGTGTAACTAACTTTCTTATACTTACATAAATCCTAAGATATATAAAATATTTAGTCTTCATGTTTCTCTGATGAAGCTTCTACTCCGAGGCTTCTGTTCCTTGGAAGGAACTTCTCTTCTCCAGTCTTCATTTCTGAAGCGCCAGTTCCTGTGAGGGAACTATTCTCTATGGCTAGCTCTGCTTCTGGCCTTCTTGTTCCGCATGGTATTTTTACAAGACACTTCATTCTCCTAGTCTTCGTAACTGAGTACACACTTAAACAATCAAGCTCTTATTAGTTTGTAAGTAAGTGAGGTTGTGTCATCATCAAAATCATTAAGTCCAACAATATTCCCCCTTTTTGATGATGAAAAACAAACCAAACTTACTTACTAGGAAATAGAGATAAACCATTTTATTCCTAAAGAAAGGAAATGCAAAAATAAAATATAAAGCAAAATGGAAACTAAAGGTTAAGGAAATAAAAACAATGCATAAATAAATAACTTAAGAAAAACTGAAAAACTTGAAAAAAACTTGTATATACATTATACCTGCTTGTAGAGATTAGGCAGCTTTGAAGACTTCGAACAGAGACCATAGAATGATTAAGTTTCCTTGATAGTTTTCATCCTTTTCCCCCTTTTGGCATTATCAAAAATTAACACACAAGTATATAGTATACCATAACACAGCACCATCTAGTGGTTTAGTGTTAAGACAAGAAGCATGCATAGAGAGAAAACATTCACAAAGCATATAGGCAAAAGCATTATAGACATTCATCATCAAAAACCGATTTAAAAACATCGGCCAATGTACCAAATTTGCAAGTTCAACAAAAGAAATTAAAGTGCCCAAAATATTACAAACCAAATTTAAAAATTGTTTCCCAAAAGCAAATAAACAGAAGTTTCATCAACATAAAAAGGCTGCAAGGAAAGAGAGATTAGGAAGCAGTGCTCTGGTCATCATCAACAGCAAGATCCTCTAGCTTCTTGCTGATTTGAGACACAATGTCCCTCACTGTGGACTGTCTCCCTTGTTCTGAGCTCGTGACCAGTTTCTTCAGATCAGCATCAAGAGTTAGCACACTTTTCTTCAGTTCCCCTATCTTCACCTTTGTGTGCTCTTGTTCCTTCAGCACCCTCTGGAGCATCTCCTTCAACTCCTTCACATCCTCGTTGGGAACCTTAGGTGGGGAACTAAATGCTGCAAAACCTGAAGTAGATGCATACTTGCCCGAAGTAGGAGAGGTGGTAAATTTCTGCAGTTCCTCCTGTACCCCAGTTATATCAATGTAGATAGGTGCTGGGGCCTCCTTTTTCTTCATCAACCTCAAACTCTTCCTCTTCTTTCTTCCCCCTGTCTCAATAACCTCTTCCACCTGCCTTTCCTCTACCTCCTCTTGTTCCTGCAACTCCTGAACAACATTCCCTATGGCCTCTCCTGCCTGATCTTCTCCTACTTCCCCCTCAACTAGTCCACCTACTTCTCTTGGCCTCTTATCTTCCTACACAACTTCAAAATACCCATCTACAACTTTCATCTTATGGTTTTCAAGGAAAATGGGTTGTATATATTCGGTGTTTTTGAGGGGCAGGGGTTCTTTGTCAGCAAAGGAAATGCCAAAACTTTCAAACACATAAATAGGCAGGTTACCATATCCAACCTTCCAACCTTTAGGAACACAATGAGACAGGTTTTGGATCATGATAGATGGGAAATTTATTTGGATATTTTTGGCTAGACAGTAAATTAAGACAGAGTCAAGCTTGTTGGCACTATCTCTCTTTTGAGAACGAGGGATTATGTCATTGAACACAAATTTCAGCAGGATTTTGTCAAGAGGGGTTAGGTCATTGTGGTTTATGTAGGTTTCCTCCGGGTCTCCTCCTAAATACTCCACTATTTCATCAATATTAGCATCAGGAATCGGGTTCTTTATCACATTATTTTTGAAATAAATATCATATCCAGTATTAGGAACATCAAATAGTTCAGCCAGATACATAGCATCAAACTCAATAGCCTTCCCATACACACAGCAGTGAATAGTACCCTTAGAGTACTTAAAGCTTTTGCAAAAATCTCTCATAGCATCAACATACAAACTTCGATTAAAACACTCACCCAACAGATTCACCCAATTTTGAGCTTCAAACAAATCCAACAATTCATAAAGCTTAACAGATTTACACCAAGGTAAATTAAGTGCCAAACCTGTCACGAAGTGGTCACTGATTTTCTCCTGCTTCTTCATAGAGGCAGGCTTGTCTCGATAGTTGACACCCATCTCCGAAACGCTTTCCTCCTCTTCTTGCATGTCCTCGATTTTTCTTTTTCGGGAAGAATTGGACTCAGTAGGAGATTCCTTCTTTTGAGGCTCAGGATTTTGAGTTTCGGGGATGATTTCCATGGTGATTTCTGGAATAGGGTTTGTGTGTTCTTCGGATTTAGTTTGGGTTTTTGGTGAGACAGACATTGGTGAGAAATTTTGATCAGAGTGATGAGAGAGAGGGTAATTTTTGAGTGGTGTAAATTTTGGTAAGGCTGACATGTTTTTATGGTGGAGGTAACTTGAGGGAGTGAATAAGTGAGGTGTCGTTTGAGAGGTGAGGTGAATTTAGTTGATTAGACACTCCTATTTAATGCTTAGGGTAACGCAAACCGTGTTTCAAGAGAGTAATGGATGTGGGCAACTTTTTGAACAAAAGATAATGATGAATTTTGATATATTCATCTGAATTTAGTGTTTAGAGAAAAAAATGGAATTTTGAAGATCAGATAAACACAATAATTTTATCTTTTGAATTCAATAAATAAACCACTTGCAAATACAACTTGATACACGGAACAATTCAACAAGGCTCATGCAATCAATTTTGGATTTCTAATATCTATGACTTTCAAATTTACATGCCTTTAGTAAATGTTACTCTTGCTCACAACTTGCCTTAACTATGTAATTAAACATATAACACTTGTGCACAGTATACAATAGTTTAAGCATGTCAGTTTGAGTTCCATACCTGAGGGAACTTGATGCATTTTTCTTAGTATAACTTAATCATCCCAAGTTGCATTCTCATCTTCTCATGCCTTTCTCTATTCAAGGGTTTTGTTAATATATCTGCAATTTGATTGTCAGTTTAACAGAAATCTAATTTAATCAAACCCTTTTCAACATTATCCTTAAGGAAATGATGCCTTATATGAATATGCTTAACTCTTGAATGATGGACTGGATCTTTAGATATGCAAATTACACTAGTGTTATCACAGTAGATAGTAATGCAATTAAATTTAATACCAAAGTCACGTAACTGTTGTTTTATCCAGAGGACTTGAGAGCAACAAGTAGCTGCTGCTACATACTCAACCTCTGCAGTAGACAATGCAACAATATTTTGTTTCTTGGAACCCCAAGAAACTAGACAAGAGCCAAGGAACTGAACCATACCTGAGGTGCTTTTCCTATTAACTAGGTCACCTGCATAGTCAGCATCTGTGAATCCTCTAAGCATAAAGTCATCACTTCTAGGATAGAATAGACACAGGTCATCTGTTCCTTTGAGGTATCTCAAAATTCTCTTAACAGCCGTTAGATGTGATTCTTTAGGATTAGACTGAAATCTAGCACACAATCCAACACTAAAGGAAATGTCAGGCCTACTGGCTGTTAGATATAACAATGAACCAATCATACCTCTGTAAGTGGTTTGATCCACACTTGTTCCTTGTGGATCCTCATCAAGTCTTGTTGTTGTTCCCATAGGTGTATGATTTGTCTTGGCATTTTCCATGTTGTACTTCTTCAGAAGTTCCTTGACATACTTCTGTTGGTGAATCATTATTCCTTCAGCTGTTTGCTTTATTTGAAGTCCAAGGAAGAAATTCAATTCACCCATCATGCTCATCTCAAATTCACCACCCATTAGCTCAGCAAAGTACTTGCACAAACCATTGTTAGTAGCACCAAATATAATATCATCTACATAGATCTGCACAACTAACAAATCAGTTCCTCGAGATTTAAGAAAAAGAGTTTTGTCTACTTTTCCTCTTTTGAAATCATTTTTCAGTAGGAACTTTGAAAGCCTTTCATACCAGGCTCTTGGAGCTTGTTTAAGCCCGTAGAGAGCTTTATCAAGCTTAAAAACATGATTTGGAAATTTAGGATTTTCGAAACCTGGAGGTTGTTCAACAAACACCTCCTCATTTATGAAACCATTTAGAAAAGAACATTTCACATCCATTTGATAGAGTTTGAAACCCATAAAAGAAGCAAAAGCCACTAGGATTCTAATAGCTTCTAATCTAGCTACAGGAGCAAAGGTTTCATCGAAATCAATACCTTCCTGTTGGTTGTAGCCCTTCACAACCAATCTAGCCTTGTTCCTTACTATGGTGCCATGTTCATCAAGCTTGTTCCTGAACACCCATTTGAGCCCAATTACCTTCTTTCCCTTAGGCTTTGGCTCAAAGTGCCATACCTTGTTCCTTTCAAACTCATTGAGTTCCTCTTGCATGGCCACTATCCAATCAGCATCTCCTAAGGCTTCTTGATGATTTCTTGGTTCTAGAATGGACAGAAATGCATGGAATGCGCAGTAGTTCCTCATCTGTGATCTTGTTTGAGTTCCTTTTCCTATATCACTGATAATTAGATCAGTTGGATGGGAACCTCGATACCTGAATGGCCTGGGTTGGAATTCCCTTGCTGGAACTCCAATTTGAGGAGCTTTTGTTTCTGTTCCTTCTGCTTCTTTTGCTTGTTCCTCATTCACCTGTTCATCTGGTTGAGGAACCTCTCCATTTTCTTGATGATCCTCTTCTGGAGCATGCTGCTTTTATTTGGGTTTGCTTTTGGGTCTCTTCTTCATCCCTGTCTCTTATCAATCCAATTTCAAAATCATTATCATCTTCTTGTTCCTGTACACTCACAAACTGGTTAACTTCATCAAAGATTATATGAATGCTTTCCTCAACACACATTGAGCTTTTATTGTAAACTCTATAAGCTTTGCTATCAGAGGCATATCCTAGAAATATGGCCTCTTCACTTCTTTCATCAAATTTCCCTAGGTTTTTCTTACCATTGTTATGTACAAAGCACTTACAACCAAAGGCTCTAAGATGAGATATGTTTGGCTTTCTTCCCCTGAATAGTTTATAGGGAGTCTTGTTGATGATAGTTCTGATTGTTACCCTGTTAAGGATGTAACATGCTGTATTCACGGCTTCAGCCCAGAAGTTCCTTGGCAATCCACTTGCAATCAACATCGTTCTAGCCATTTCCTCAAGGGTTCGATTCTTCCTTTCTACAACTCCATTCTGTTGGGGAGTCCTTGGAGCTGAGAAGTTATGATTCATGCCATTTTCCCTGCAAAACTCATCGAATCTTGAGTTCTCAAATTCAGTTCTGTGATCTGATCTGAGATGGACTATGGAGTGACCACTAATTTTCTGTATTTTCTTGGCAAAAGCAACAAACTCGTTAAAATTTTCATCTTTACTAGCAAGAAAAATAACCCAAGTGAATCTAGAATAATCATCAACAATAACCAAAACATATTTCTTGCCACTCCTGCTTTGAATTCTCATGGGACCACACAAATCCATATGGATTAATTCCAAAGGCTTTGTATTGCTCACCATTTTCTTCAATTTAAAAGATGAGCGAACATGCTTGCCTTTCACACATGCATCACAAACTTTGTTCTGTAGGAACTTGATAACAGGAAGTCCCACAACCAAGTTCCTTGACCTTAGCTTATCCAGTAATGAAAAGCTAGCATGTCTAAAACGTTTATGCCATAGCAGGGGATCATCTTCAACAACACTCAAACATGTAAGGTTGTTCCTTGGGATTAAGTTGAGGTCAACTGTATAAGTGTTCCCTCTTCTAGTTCCTTCCAGAACAACCTTTCCTGACTTGTTGTTGATGATGTTGCAAGAGTCGGAAGTAAAACTTACAGAATTTCCTTTATCACAGAATTGTGATATACTGAGAAAATTGTGCATTAAGCCCTCGACCAGGAACACATTAACAATGGAATGAGATTTTGATCTACCAATTTTCCCTTTTCCAATGATCTCGCCCTTCTTATTATCCCCAAAGGTTACTGTTCCTCCAGGGTAGTCTTCTAGTGAGAGGAACTTTGATTTATCACCTGTCATATGCTTTGAACAACCGCTGTCGAGATACCACGAGTTGTTCCCCCTCACTAGGACCTGCAAGAAAACTAAGCATTAGGATCAGGAACCCAGGTTTCCTTGGGTTCCTTAGACGTGGATGCAATATCAGTTTTCTTGACCCACACTTGTTTTACATTTCTTTTATCAGCTTCTTCTCTTATCCTACAGTGTCCATAGAGATGTCCAGTCTTACCACAAAAAGTGCATACCTTCATGCTAGGAAGCTCAACATATTTCTTTTGCTTACCTTTCTTGGTCATATAACCAAGACCTTCAGTTCTTTTTCCTTGAGCTTCAGCTATCCACTTAGGTATGACTTTTGGGTCAATACTTCTATCCTTTCTAGCATTCAGTTTCGATTCAAGTTGATCCTTTTGGGTTTTTAAATTAGAAAGCTCGTTTTTCAAATTTTCAAAATCAACATTGAATTTAAGCAATTGATCGCCTGAGGAACTGCTAGAACTGATATCAGAATTCATGAGCTTATACTGAGTTAATTCAACATTCAGAAGAATACTTTCATTCTTAATTCTATCAGCTATCTCAGTTATGTGTTTGTATTTAAAATCAAGTTCTCTTAGTTTGCTTTGAGACTTGGCATAGGCTGTTTCCAACCAAGCACCATGTTCTTTGTAAACCTTAAGAGCTTTTTCACATTTATTCAATTTTACACATGTATCTCTAAAGAATTCTTCTTCTTCTAGACTTATATCTATCAAGACATCTTTAGAGAGAGTTTTAAGTTGTTTAGGATCAAGAAATACCTCTTTCTGGAGTTCCTCAAGGTAAGCCTTTTCATCATCTGATTTGGCCATTAAACAAAGATTGGTTGTCTCCTCTTCTGGCTGGTCATCATCATCTTCTTCACTCTCTGAGTCTCCCCAGGCTGCTATCATGGCCTTCCTCATGTCTGACTTCTGATAGTTTGCTTTGCTGAATTTTTCTCTTCCCTGTTCCTTAGCCTTTCCTTTTCCTTTATCATTTTCCCAAAGGGGACAATCTCTGATAAAGTGATCTAGGGATCCACACTTGTGGCAGCTGTAGTCAGGTTTTGGATTTGAGGTCTTTTTCCCGAAGTTCCTTGAGGTTCGGCCTTTCTTGAACATCTTTTTGAATCTTCGCACAATTAGGGTAGCCTCATCCTCGTCCACTTCTGAGTCTTCCTCCTCATCAGCCTTAAGAGCCAATCCCTTATTCCTCATGGGTTCATTGTTGACTCCAAGGTGTAGCTCATGAGTCATGAGAGAACCTGCTAGTTGTTCAATATTGAACTTGGTAAAGTCCTTCGTTTCCTGAAGGGCTGTCACCTTAGCTCTCCACCTCTCATCTTGTGGAAGACTTCTAAGAACCTTCCTAACCTACTCATCTGTAGGAATCTGTCTACCAAGGGAAACCAACTCATTTATGATGTTAGTAAAATGGGTTAGCATCTCTTGAATGGTTTCCTTAGGCTGCATTTCAAATCTTTCATACTTGGACATAAGTAGATCGATTTTTGAGCTTTTAACCTCATTAGTTCCTTCATGAGTAATCTGCAGCAAATCCCAGATTTCCTTAGCGTTCTTGCACCCCATAACACGATTGTGTTCGTGAGGTCCAAGTCCACAGTGGAGCAATTTCACAGCCATAGCATTTATTTCCATTTTATCAAAATCCACTTTTTCATATTCAGACATAGGCTTAGGGATTACCTCATTCTGAGCATTAGTTTTGGTGACTTCGAAATCACCAACCTCGATGACCCTCCAGACTTGGTAGTTCTCTGCCTTGATAAAGATCTCCATGCGGTTCTTCCAGTAAGTATAGAACTTGCCGTTGAACATAGGAGGCCTCTGTGTTGAGTATCCTTCCTCGAGCTTCTCATGAGTATTCATTTTCTCCAAGACCTTTCTTCTTCAGGGTTTCCTGATTTTCCTAGAAGTTAGGCTCTGATACCAATTGTTGTTTTAATGAATACTACAAGAAGGGGGGGGTTGAATTGTAGTATGAGAATTTAGCCAAACTTTTTGCGGAATTAAACTTAAGTTAGCTAAAGGAACTGAGAGATTAACTAAAAGAACTAAAGAATGCAAGAGAGATTTTACGTGGAAAACTCCTTGGCCCTAACAAGGAGAAAAACCACGACCATTTGGGATTTTGGGAAAAGAATCTTCACTATAATAGGGCAAATGATTCTATTACAAGCTAAAGACTCAAACTCAAGTTCCTCTACGAACTTGAGACCCTGAGGAACAAGTCACCCAACTTGTTACTCTTCTCTTCTCTTTCTCTCTTCTCACTTCTCTGTTCTCTCTTCTCTTTCTCTTCTCTCTCTCTCTCTTCTCTTTCTCATACACAAATGTTCACTCGAACTTCCCCCATTCCCAATTACAACTCGAAAGAAAAACAAACTCTAGTATAAGAACATTTAGAACACTCTAATAGACTTGTATGGAATTGGACTCTTAACTCGAATAAAAGATGAAAACTTATGTGAGCAAAGGGGTAAGTTTTTCTATCTTAAATCAACAACTATTTATAGACCAAAATTTGTTTAGGAAAAACTTCTTTATGCAGCAAATCCATTACGCCACTTCTCATACCCACTAAGAAGATCATGTCCCTAAAATTAAGGGACCATGAACACCTCAATGTGCAAGACCATGTCTAGAAGAAGAACATGGGAGAGTAGGCCGCAAGTTTAGAGAAAACGTGGAGATTTTATTTTGTCAAAAACATTTTCCGAAAACCAGAAAAAGAAAATAAAATCTTTTTAATTTAAGAAAAAGATAAAATTTAAATTGCAACAGTTTTCCTAAAAACTAGCATGCACAATATTTTATCCTAAGACCAATTCCATACTGATTTTTCGAGTGTAACTAACTTTCTTATACTTACATAAATCCTAAGATATATAAAATATTTAGTCTTCATGTTTCTCTAATGAAGCTTCTACTCCGAGGCTTCTGTTCCTTGGAAGGAACTTCTCTTCTCCAGTCTTCATTTCTGAAGCGCCCGTTCCTGTGAGGGAACTATTCTCTATGGCTAGCTCTGCTTCTGGCCTTCTTGTTCCTCATGGTATTTTTACAAGATACTTCATTCTCCTAGTCTTCGAAACTGAGTACACACTTAAACAATCAAGCTCTTATTAGTTTGTAAGTAAGTGAGGTTGTGTCATCATCAAAATCATTAAGTCCAACAATTTCCTTTGCAATCGATCATGTCATTCGTTAAAAAAAATAATAATAAATAAAAAAAAATCGTCGAACTAAACACAATGTACACTAATGATTTAAGGCACCTTTGCAACCCATTATTCCCCTTTAACGATTCAATCACATATCCATTTCTTCGTCAACTACTTTGAGCCTCGTCTAACAATTGGCCTAATTTATTCAACCCACATTCACCTAACCTTGGGATGGGAAGGTGTGCAATTTGTGTAATATCCAAAAAGCAAGTTAAAAAAAAGAATAAATAAAAAAACAATGTCAAAAGGCAAGTGTTCCAATATCTTGGATACGAACACGCCTCGAATTGCGTCTCTCATCGAGTGCTTGGTACCGTGCCTGAGAAACATGAATGCTAAGTGAGTGATGGACCGCATGATTCGAGATTTCCTACATTGATTAAAAAAAACAAAGAAAAAAGGAAAAAAAATCAACAAGAAAAAAATAAAACGTGAAAAAAGAAAACTTGCAAAGTCCAAATTTTCAAATAAACAATTGCATATCTTGGGGGCTACTCTCGGGTCTTGAGCCTTTTACGTCTTTCTTCCTTAAACCATCAGCTTAACCATATTACAACCCTTTAAAGACCTCTTTTAGGTGTACATTTACTTGTGCAAGTTCGGTTAGAGCTACGTTCGGCCTAATTCCTAACGGATACGTAGGCAACCTCACATTAAGGTGCAGCCACATTCATATTCATATCCATGCATGATCAAGTCATATCCAATGCTTATCCTTACCCATATAGAGCTAAACTTGGGGGCTTGAACCCACATCACTTAGCTTACCCAGCCTAACGAGAGTCATCATTTTTTACTCTTCTCACATCTATTCCCATCACCCTAACCTTTGCAGCTAACCTTAGTATCACTTTCACACACTTCACTCACACATACCTAGCCATATCATCCTTCCCTCAGGAACCCCTTATCATGAAATCTTGCTTCAAGAAAACATTCATTAAAATATTATATACTTGCTTAGCTTCCTGAGCAATATTCATTGTTTCACGCATCGCATGCTGTGCTTAGCTTCCTAAACTAAGCGAAATTTATCAAAGATTTGTAATTATACAAAGCATATCGTGCTTAGCTCCTTCAACTAAGCAACATTCATTATGCAATACTCACCGATCACTTCATCTATATATGTGCTTAGCTTCCAGACCTAAGCGATGTTCGTTCAAGATCACTTCTTTACATAGTATATGATGCTTAGCTCCATGACCTAAGTTTATTCATCTATCGTGTCTCATGATGTAATTGTCCTTAGCATCTTGGCCTAAGAACATGCATCATGCATACATTATCTTCAAGAAAAGCAATTCAATCCTAGCGATTCATTTCGTTTTGCTCAACGAGAAAGTTCAAAACTTCTTCCCTTTTTCATGTCTTTTTTTTTCTTTTGGGGAAGTTTAAAAACTTTTTCAAAGTTTTCATCGAGGGAAGTCGGTACCCTCCACTCATGACAAAAATGACGGAAAATTTTTGCTTTTGCATTTTCAGTTGCTTGTGTCTGCACACACACACCATATACACACAATCACAAGTCATACACATGTCATGTCATGTCAAGCTTGGTCAAGACAATCATAGTCTATACGAGTCCCTTGGAAAATTTTATTTTGCAGGCCTCATCTACAGCCCACGTTCGGGAACAAGCGAACCAACTACATCCCACGTTCGGGGACAAGCGAACCATCTACAGCTCTCGTTCGGGGACAAGCGAACTATCATCATTTTAGTGATCATCTCCCAAGCAAAGAAGATTCATAGCAGCACAAGGTTCTCATCATCAGACAATTTTTTCATCAAGCATGGAAAATTGTCGGTCGTTGCTACCTCTCCAGGCGAAGAAGTCAACGATTATATCATCTATCGACTTTCCTCAAGCATGGAAAGTATCTCAACCGGTGGGTTTCTTCAAGCAAAGAAAACTGCCAAAATCATCTGTCGACTTTCCTCAAGCATGGAAAGTATTATCCGGTGGATTTCTTCAAGCATAGAAAACTGCCAAAATCATCTGTCGACTTTCCTCAAGCATAGAAAGTATTATCCGGTGGATTTCTTCAAGCATAGAAAACTACCAAAAGCATCTGTCGGCTTTCCTCGGGCATGGAAATCATCTCAAAAAAAGTCATTTGGTGGATTTCTTCATGCATATAAAGCTACCAAACTCATTTATCACCGATACACTGGTGTCAAATACTATCTAGCATATTCGTCACCTATACACTAGTGTCAGATACGCATTCTATCCCTTTACTCTTTTATTTGTGGAACTGATATTTTTCTGCAGATATCGACGTATACAAAGTGGTTTAGGATCACAGAACATCTTAAATCATTCTCCGTCCCTATCGACTACTTTGTCTATCGTTTTTAAAACTTACGTTGCTACTGTAATACCCCTCATGATTGCTTTAAAAGGATTTGATATACTACTCATATCAACAAGATGCATCTTCCTTTTAGGTAGCCCACATGCTAAGAAATTCCATAGTTAAGTGTGCTTGGTTGGGAGTAGTCTTGGTGTGGGAGACCTCCTGGGAAGTTTTCTCGAGGTGCGCATGAGTGAGGACAAAATGCGCCGGAAGGACTTGTGTTGGTCTGTGAGGACAATTGTTGGCCCTCGATGCGCATTTAATGACAATAGGCCCCTCCCTAATTTTTTTGGGGTCGGGGTCTTACATCTACAAACTCAGTCAAAGTGGGGGCTTCAGTAGACACCTAAAAATGTCTCCCCAAAACCAAACCCGATGATGAACAACCTTTCACCGTCAATACTGGTCGGGTTGAGTATTTAATCTTTGGAGTGCTTAAATCCATATTCAATCCCAATACCTTTCTTAAACCAACCCAATTCCTAGCCCATTTCCTCAAACCATAACTTATTTTCCTCTTTTCGTGGCTTTAAACCCAAAATAATTCATTTCGTGTCCTTTAAAATCATTCATTTCGTGTCCTTTTTATAAAAACGTTTGGAGTAGTTTATTTTGTCCCACAATCTTGGTCCAATTTTTGAATAGTTGG